ACAGCAACTTGCGATTATCCCTCCCAGACCGCGTCATGGTGGAGAAACGCTTCACGCTGCCGGTTAGCAGGCCAGTCACACTCATAAAATCTGAATCCTGAACGAGAGAGAAAATTAGGATGGAGGCATTATAAACAGATGAAGATACCCCTGAAGAATCTCCCGCTTCCTGGCTGCCCGTCTCTCCCTGCCCATCGCGTCTCTCTCAGAAGGTCCTTCCCCTCCTGTGCGCAGGCTGCAGGAGCAGCACCACTCCCACCACGCTCAAAACAGGGAAACAAAAAGGGCAGGGGAAGATCTGTTCCAAAAATAAACCAAACTGCCTCCCCAACTTTTTAAAACAGGGTCAAACTACCTGCTGCTGGGCTGTTCTGTTGTACCCATGCAGCTTATTCTGCCTGGAACAGCTTGTTAACAGCAGCTCTACGAGGGAATGCGTCATCCAAAGGGAATGGCCCTACGTGAAGGGAGTGCCATTAACACACGCCAGGGCAGGCTCACAAGCACAGAAAAAGGTGGAATTCCTTCCCATTAGTTCTATTTTTCCTTCAGCATGGGATGCCGTGCATGTGCAGCTCCGCCAGAGGGTGGCAGACAAGTCTCAAATGAATGCAGTTCAGGCATTTTCATTTTCACTTGCAGTCTGTTTTCCTTATCTGCAAAGTACTTGGAGCTTCTGCTCATGTTGTTCCTGAAATGCTTCCAAACCTTCTATGTAACAGAAGCACAATTTCACACTGACTGAGGGCTTCTCATTTAAGGTCTTCTGCCATTACACCTTTTATTCTGATTCTCCATTCTCCTAATTGTCGGGCTGAGCAAATATCCGTTTCAGACACTCCAGCACTGTCAGTGTGCACCGTTATTAAACATCCAAGCTGACCTTACACCTCTGACTCAAGTGGTTTCAATGCTACAGTTGTCTTTTCTCTTGCTTCCACGCACCAGCTCCCCAACATCCAGCACACACAGAAAAGCCACTCCAAGCACCAGCGTTACGGTGCTCATCTCCTCCTCAAATCTCTGGGCTGGCCTCCCTTCCTCTCACAGTTCAGTTAAGGAATTCCCTTTCTCCTAAAAACCCTCAGCGGATAACCCCTCTGCTCCAGGGATGTGCCACTCCGGCCTCTCCCCGCTGCACTGTGATTTTCCATCAGCACCCAAAGCTTAAGAGGCAGATTACTCTGGAAAGCAATTTTGGTTTTGTCGGGTGTTGTGTGTCAGACAGACCAGGGCACCGACGAACCTGAGCGGGCCCGGAGCATCAGCTTTGCTCCTTCCAAAGACGTCAGTGAACTAGAGTCCTGCCAGGTAGTCCGTGTTTCGGGTGTTACAGTAAGCAACCCTGACAGATTTATAGAGCAGTACCAAAAAAATCACAGGAGCTGATGAGGAACAGGCCCGTCTCCCAGCGTTAGCCACAGGAGGCAGCTCTTTAATCCCAGGACGGAGGTAATCTCCACTGTATTTCTGCAGCATGCTGTCCTACGTCAGCCTTTCCAGATGCTAGGTACCAACCGTGTCGCCCGTTCAGACAAGGGATACCAGCAGCTGCTATGTATCTGATGTTTGTATATCAAGAATTCCCCCAGAAATGGGTTTAGTTACGTTCCCTGATTTGCCAAACTGACCACTGGGGTCTAACTTTGAACTGCTATTAAACTTTCACACTTAAGGCAACTGCCAAGAGCCAGCACAAAAAAAAGTCACGCTCTTTACATTTCATCGGTTCCTTACCATGCCATCCAGATAACGGTTCTGTTCGTCGGCATCTTTGTCAATGTCCAGAGCCAGCTACACAGGACGAGGGGGAAACGATTGTTAATGAGCTTTTAACGTAGAGAGAATCGAACACATCAAGTGCTGGTAAAATTTAAAATGTACATTAGAAAAGCAAGCCACTGCTTCCCCGTCTCCCACACAGATGGAGGCTTGTTTGGTAGAGGAACAAAACAAGATTCTCATTGTGGTTTCAGGTTGTTGAACCTTTTCAGCTCTAGAATGCTGAAAATAAAGCTTGACTGTCTGAAACTGTCACATATAGGATGGGAGCATTTAAAGACTGGGACACAACAGCAGGTGGGTCCAGAGGAGGGCCACAAAAATGATCCGAGGGCTGGAGCACCTCTCCTATGAGTCCAGGCTGAGGGAGTTGGGCTTGTTCAGCCTGGAGAAGAGAAGGCTGCGGGGAGACCTGATTGCGGCCTTTCAGTACCTAAAGGGGGCCTATAGGAAAGATGGGGAAAATCTTTTTAGTATGGCCAGCAGTGACAAGACAAGGGGTAATGGTTTTAAACTAAACCAGGGTAGGTTTAGACTAGATATAAGGAAGAAGTTCTTTACAATGAGGGTGGTGAAACACTGGAACAGGTTGCCCAGAGAGGTAGTGGAGGTCCCATCCCTGGAAGCATTCAAGGCCAGGTTGGATGGGGCTCTGAGCAACCTGATCTGGTTAGCGGTGTCCCTGCTCCCTGCAGGGGGGTTGGACTAGATGACCTCTAGGGGTCCCTTCCAACCCAAAACATTCTATGATTCTATGATTCTGTGAAAGTATTTGAGGTTAGGAGGAGCAAACTAGCTGTAAGGACACTGCTTACATAGAGACGTGTGTATTTTTCAAAACTAATTTACCTGCCTTTTCACTGGGACTTTTTTCCCCAAGGTGCGCTTAGCAGTACCCCTCTATGCAGCTTTTATGTTCCTCTCTGTGCCTACAACTCCTTCCCTGAGTGCTGTGAAAACCACGTTATTGCCGTTAGATGATGTCGCTAAACCTCAAAAGGAAAGCGGCAATTCGTGAAGCTGTCCCTGGCATTTCACAAGAGAAAGTTAACCGTTCTATCACCAACAACTAACTAAGAGTTATAGGAAGCCCTCTGGATTGACCACAGGCTTGCACCTCCCGCAAGACCCGGCAGGCACAACCTAGCCAAGCGATGCCCTGTCCGAACCCCCCGACTCACCGACTTCAGCCGGGTGACCTTGCTGGCTAGGCTGTCTGCCATACGCTTGTTCTCCACATCCAGCATATCCTCCACGGCATTTGGACTCTGACCTGGGGGAAAAAAAAAAAAACCAAATCAGAGGAGAATGAGCTTTACCTGGCCGGATGCAGGTACCGGTGTATTTGCTTGCCCAACGTGGCAGGTGAAGCAGAGCGAGCTTGTTGCCCAACCCATCTCCCGCTTGCCACCAAGGCCTCCCCACACCTACGGCCTTGAGGGGTTTGCGCCATGAAATGCTCCCGATCTCTTTTTGACAAAACCACACCAATCTTTCCCCAAACGGGCCGGGTTAGAAACCCCAAGGCGTGCCCCGCGCTGCCACCACCGCCCAGCAGCAGCTCGAAGCAGCACAGGGGCTTCGTGCCCCAGCGCTGCCTCCTGCGCTGCCCCAGCACGGGATTTGGGGGAACCCGAGCAAATGCGGGGCGCTTCGCCCCCCTCGGGGCCCTCCTGGCGTCGCCTCCCCC